TTGCTTGGGCATGACTACACAGAAGACTGAAGGAAGGGGTCAGATGCTTGAACCTGGACATAGAATTACTGGGAATGTAACAGCCACAAATACCCACAAGATGCAGGTGTGTGGTGTGGGTGACTCAAATGCCAGGAGAGGTGCTGCTGAGGTTGATGGGATTTTCCAAAATGGCGACCTGCTCTTGGTAAAGTGCCAAAGAACATAAAGTATAGTATCCCCTTGATTTGTACTCCAGTGGCATTCCTGGATGATTCAGTACATATATGTTAAAACCATACAAAAATCTTCTGTGTTTATTTCAGAACGGGAATTCGGTTCTAATTACAAATGGACTTTTCACCTCTGAATGTCCAGTGGACCATTCTAAAGTCATGTGGGAGAGTTCTTTTGTGGGCTGCTGTGGGAATTGTAGGATGTCTGGCAGTACCTATAGCACTCCCTACTCACCGTGGTGCTGATACAGAGCCCCCCTACCCTAAGGGCTGGTCCTGTTAAGAACTGCTGGTCTGAAAGAAGCACCAGGACCAAGAACTGGGAGACTTGTGTCCTAGATCTGGGCTATAGTGCCTTGATATTTGTGTGACCTTACCTCCCAATGTCAGGGTCTCCTCTCTGTAAAGAGGATTTAATGACACACATGTTCTGCTGGACTTGGGGACTGTGGCTCACTGTGCTCCCCTCCACGACCTCAGGACAGCCAGAGCATCCATGCGTGCCCCATAACATACATCCCATTCACAAACTCCCCCTCACTGTGACTTTTTTTAGTATTGAAACATCCTTAGGTCTCTCTAATCTAGGAAAGAAGGAAGGGAAGGAGGGAGAAAGGACGCCCCCGTCATCTCTACTTCTCTAGCAGCTTTCTCTCTCCTTCACAAGCAGATTTCTCAAGAGTCCTCCATATACACTATCTCAGTCACCTCCCTTTGCAGTCACTTCTTCTTAAATGGTCACCAGTGACCTTTGCTGCTAAATCTCTTTAGTCCCTGGCTGACTTGGCTCTGCAATTGACCACTGCCTCCAAACTCGTCTGCCCTCACTTCCCTGATAGAGTCCTTTCCTGGGTGTCCTCCTGCCTCCCTGACCCTTCCTCAGGCCCCTTCCCAGCCATGGATGTCACCCCTCCCACTTCTGCCCAACATGCTCCTCCTCTGTGCTGCTCCATCCAGCTGGGGTCCCAGACCTGTCCCACCTAGTGTCCCATGGACATCTCAGACTTAGAACATCTCAAATGCAGCAGCTCATCGTGAGTCATCTCCAACTCAAGCCTCTTCCTGTATCCTCTTCTCTCAGGGAATGACACCGCCATTGCCCAAGTCAGAAGTCTGGGTATCACCCACCACTCCTTCCTCTCTCTCACCCCCTCCCAAGAAATCCCTCACCCAGTCCTGATGGTCCTGCTTTCTCAATAGTTCTCCCATTTTCACTAATTTGAGTTGCCTACTGACCCTTATAGGCATTTAGGATTGCAACCTCTACATACTGCTTGTGCCGGATTGAAACCTTCAGAGGCCCTCAGCACTGACCAGTTTAAGGTCCTATAAGTACTAAAAAATAAATTAATGTAGTTCTTAGTTATGATATAAAATCATGGTTTTAAAAACAATAAAATTTACTGTGCAATGAGGCCATAAGAGCTTCTTTTTGCTTCCTTCTCATTATTTTCTCTTCTTTTAAATCATTTTCTTTGGTGCCCCATCATGGGTGGTACCCTATGCATGTGTCCAGCGGGAGAGCTGGGTAATCTAGGACCACTTAGAATATCAGCCTCCTGTGGCCAGGACTTGGGTCTTTGCCTCTGTGGTCTTTGCATGTGACTGGGGCATGATGTAGACCAGCGGTTCTCAACCTTCCTAATGCCGTGACCCCTTAATACAGTTCCTCATGTTGTGGTGACCCCCAACCATAAAATTATTTTCGTTGCTACTCTACAACTGTAATTTTGCTACTGTTATGAATCGTAATGTAAATACCTTTTGTTTTCTGATGGTCTTAGGCGACCCCTGAGAAAGGGTCGTTCGACCCCCAAAGGGGTCGCGACCCACAGGTTGAGAACCGCTGATGTAGACACTGAGTAGTTGTTTAATGAACATGTTAATGAATGCATGAAAAATGAGATGAACTTGAAAGGGCTCACTTAAGTAAAGAGCACTATCAGAATGTAAGTTATTATTATTATTATTATTATTATTATTATTATTATTATTAGCTTTCTGGTGTTTGACATTACAGTAGAATTTCCGAGATTTTATATTACCAATGTTTTAAAAACAACCAGCCCCACTGTTATGCTTCAGCTTTCGTACTGCAACGTACTTAGCATTGCAGAGTCTGCCCATGAAAAATGCATGTAAAGATTTCTGAATTAATAAGTAAATGAATTTGTCCAGTATGATGGTTTGCTTGATTCCCTTTAGCTCGCAGTGAGGCTGCTTAACGAGAGCCTGTCTGGCTGTGAGTTATTTAAAGTGACCACACCCAGCTCTGACAGATAGTGAACCTGGGGAGGGAGCTGTGCCTGTGTGTGGGGTGGAGAAGGGGGGTTCCTTTGGAGTAACACTGGTGATGGTGATAGTGGCATGGGAAATGGGCATCCACCCTAGAAAGCCTGTGTGAGATCTCAGAAGGGCGGAATGTGGCCTAAAGGCTAAGTCAGGCAGTATGAATAGGACTAGCCACAACATTTTGGGGGGAAATGAAATACCTTATAAAACTCCTAGAAGGCTTAATAAATATAACTTGCCTCATTATTATGGGCTTGTGAACAAAATAGATGTAAAACATTTCCAGAAAATATTAACTGCTTATAAGAATAGACCCAAAAGGTTAATCAAGCCTGTCCTCTGGTATTAGTAGGGAGGCCTCCTAGAAGATTGCTGATCTTGGGAGAGGAAGGAGTAAATCCATGAAAAAGTTATAAAAGGGGAGGGCCAAATTGGGAGAGGAAATGTGTCCATGAGGGCTATTTTGGCAGAGCTGGAATTTTCGTGTCCATTGCACACATGTGATGATCAGTGTCCTCCTTTGATTCACTCTCAGTGTCTGCTCCACCCACCCTCTCTCTAATGGAAGGGTCCCCCCTTGTTATTTTTTTCTCAAAACTTCTTATTTGGAAAGTAATTTCAGACTTACAAAAAAGTTCCCAGAATAGTACAAAATACCCATATACTCTTTATCCAGATTCACTCTTTTTAACATTTTGCCTCATTTGCTTTGTCATTATGTTCTCATTCTCTCTCTCTCTCTCTCTCTCTCTCTCTCTCTCTCTCTCTCTCTCTCTCTCTC